AATAGAAGTACAATTAGCTTAAAAATCCCATAGATCCTTAGTTATAGCACATAGCTACACTCCTAATAAGCAGAGGTACGCCCCTGCCTATTATGCAGTTCCTTTTAGACATACATTTAATTTTGATTTATATAATGTTTAATTATAATTTAATTAAAATGTCCTAAAGTTTGTTTATAACAACAATTATGGTGTTGTGAAATGACACAAAAAAGTTATTGTAGAATTCACTTTAAGTTGATATCAAAGTTCATGCTTAGTTCCCTTTAAGAATCACATCATTTTCCAGATATATATCAAATATCATTATATTTTAAAACTTAATGTGAAGAAAGGTCCTATTGATGTTACTTTATATATATTTCGATCATTGAATTTAAATGTTCATATACATTCGATGGATCTGGTTGAAAAAGGAGCCATAAAATGTCCTACCCATTCTGTGTCCTCGTACCATTGACAGACACAGAACGGACCCGTCTAAACACTATGACAGGCAAAAGACCCTCTCATTGCCACATAACGCCTCGGCAAAGAAAGGACCTGTGAAACAGGCGTAAAATTTACTGTATAAATTTATTGTATGCTGACATTTTTTCGATACTTGTTCACCTTCTCCATGATTGGCCAAAAAACACCTTTCGATGATGTTGCACGGGAAGTTCTGTCAAATCATTCAAGTTAATGACCCCATTGAATTTTAAATAAATGTCTTTATTATTGGTAAAATGTTCTTCAATGATTTTCTTCCTTTGAACTGACCCTTTTCAAGTTGAAATACATCGCATTTCTTTAAGATTTTCTTCTTTAAATTTTGGCCCTGCTATGTTTTCATTTGCTAGGACTCTTTGTATAATTGGGAAATTCATATTTATAATATCTTCCGCATGTTCAGTTTCTGTTAATGTACCAAGTATTCTCCCTATACGTTTTACTCTTTCGATTTCCTAATATTGTCTTAAGGTTATTCCATTTCCCAAAGCATTAATGACGAATGTCACAGGAAGTACCTAGTTTATTACTTACAATTATTTCTTTTATATGCAGTGGATACTTCTTGAAATGCGCTGTAGGTTCTATCATAAAATCCGAACCAAGTCTGTCATCTTTAAAACATTCAACACAGACATCTACAACAGCTTCAGTTTGGCCTGGTAATCTCACATCATCCGCAACCACAACTTGATAAAAGCTCTTTTTTCTTTTCCTACTTGAAAATCGGTACATCTACTTCATTTAAGACTAATTTGTTATTAGGCAATAGAATATTTGCAGGCTCCCCGTTACTTCCCCCTCAGAATGTCATACCCAAGCAAAGCATCGTCCTTGATCTCTGCAACTAAGACCTACTCAAGTAACTTCATTGAGCCAAGAGTTAACTCAAACTCTGCTTTACCAATACCTCTAATAAGTGCACCTCCAGCACTAACTATATTTACAGAGTGATCTAACACTGGGCATTTGGCCTCTGGAATTTTATTATACACCCTCTTGGAGATGACCGTCATAGACGCACCGGTATCTGCTGTAAATACCACAACCTTCAAATAAATTCCCTGCGAAAGACCTTTCTTTCCCCTGGTGCTAACCTTATTTGTTTGTTGTGGCTGTTTTTTTGAATTGAAGATTTTTCACGTGCTCAGACGACTGGCCCTCACTGATCACTTGGACCTCTCTTTGGCCTAAAGGGCAGGTCCTTCTTTGTTTAAAGGTGCTGTACTTCGATCTCTGCTGTTCTATTATGACTGCCTATATTATTACCCTCAAGTCTTTTATTTGGGCATTCCATGACATAATGACCCAACTTGTGGCAGTTGTAACATTCGGCATCTTTCTTACTATAAGATTGCTTGTTACTCTGCTGCATTCTTTCTAACTTGTCCATTCTATTTAGCAGCTCCTGTAAAAGCTCATTGGTCAACCTTTCTCCCGATGTACCTTGCTTGCTCTTGTCTGTCTTCATTTGGTTGAACTGCTCTGCGAGTTTGAAAGCGTCCACCTCGTTCCTTTGGTATACCTTTTATCTGCATGTAGTTCACTGCAAAATACACAGCTTCATCAATACTGCTTGGCTCTGTGTTGAATTCAATTTCAAATTTTATATCTTCATCTGCAAGGCCATCTAGAAATTTATGTACAAAGTCTTTGTCTCGTGCTCTTTTACTTCGATAGCTATGTGCCTTATCATATAGCCGTTACAAGTCTGCACCGTAGTCTGCCTGGTTTCTGTGTTCTTCTACTGAACTGCGCAGCATAGTAGCGTGGTGTTTCTATAGTATTACAATATTACTGAATGTTGCGTGCTAAGCTTATATAGAGTCACACAGCAGAAAGAAAATTACATGATAGGATTTTTAAAATCTTTTTTATTTCATTAGAGAGAATTATGAAAGAAGCATCTTCAACAAAAAATTGGTGTAGACCCACGACCTCGTTTACGAGTTCTCTGGAAATGAATTTGAAAAAAGGACAGGAAATTCATTACCGACCTCGAGTTATCTGAACTTGGAATTGAACCGTCTTCTTACTTCAAGGTAGGATATCCAGTGTCAGTAAGGCCGTATCATTTCATGTAGCTACCTTTCGAAATATTGTGTGCAAAATTTATTTATTTATTGCATTCATCTTCTACTTATAGTACAAGAAATTTAATATAAAGTTAATGATAAATTTAGCGCTCCTGAAAAGTAGGTTTTATAAATTGAATCTCATTTGTTATTTCCCTTTTTTAGTAGTACATGAAATTATAATTTGTTACATCTTGAATTACATTTACACACAGCATATCAAGTATACTATTAGTGATTGAATTTGTCAATATAAAGAAGATTTCAGGCATAAGACTTTGATAATTTTTCTTTTTGATAATTATTCTTAATTTATTAAACTATATAAGTTTAATAATAACATGTTGATATATTGGTTGTTTTGAAATAATTATAACTTTAGTATAGTATATAAGGTTACATTTCATTGACATTATTGGTAATGCACGGAGGTTAAATATCAACACTTTTTGCTTCAATATCAACTCTTTAGGGGCATGACTGGTGACATTATCCGGGGTCCGTACTCGACAGCGAAAGCTGCATTTTGTGCCCGTACGGGCGGATGGACCATCATTAAATATAGACTATAGATAGATAGATTGCATCATTGGTAACAACACAAACTTCGATCTGCAGTTTGAACATGAGGTGTATTGTTGTTTTTTTTATGATTGGTTTTAAAGCAATTAAGCAAAAAAGTGTATTGATCTCCCAATAAATCAATAGGTTTATATGTATCACCAATGTCAAATAGCTTTTATATCTTTGACTCGCATAGTGAATTTGCTCATACCTGCTTAAATTCAGGTAACAGTCTTCTATCAGTTTTGAAAGAAACCATTTTTTTTTAATTTGACATGGAAAAAAATGTATGTTATATAACTATTTTATAATATTAGTCCCTTTTGTTACCATTGACAGACTGATATTTTTATCATCTTATGTTACTGACAATAGAAGTGACAAAAACAGAACACAGTGCAGTCATGTCACATAACATTTACAAGTCTTGTAAGTCTTGTTTGTATTCAATGGAATTACTTTCTTTACCAGGTAGGCATCAGTGAAAGCATTTTTGCAAATTGAATATCTGGCCCCTCTTTTTAATTATGGACAGTGCATAAGATAAGTATAATTATGCAAAAAATGGTTTACAAAACATTTGGAAAAACTCTACAATAGTACCTAATCTGAATATAACATGATCTGTGCGTAGGAATAATTTGGTAAGGTATCTGTAATGGGCGGAGCTTCTCAATTGCTGCATTGCAGCAACATTTGAACTTGTATATTACAGGGTTTTGTTGGGTTTATCAAGAATAAAAGTCAATGATATAGAAAAGTGGGCTCCGCTAAATAGTGTATTTAAACGATACATAGAATGATATATATGTTCTATAAATGAAAGTGTTCTGCCACGGAGTGATTGGACGACAATGTTTCCTGGGCCAGCCCTTTGAGCCATATAATTTTTTTGGGGTTGTTTGCAACAAAATTGGGGCCCTGGGTTGGATTTTACGGTTGATTCTTGATGAACTCGTATTTTTAGGACAATATCAACAGTTATGTACAAGTTGCCAAATACTACGTACTTAAAGTAAGAAAAAACAAGATTCTTAGACGAGCGCTATGTACGTTTTTATCATCATACAGAAAAGTCTCCAAACTTTTGCATAGAGAAAACCGCAACGACATTGAGATTGGTAAAGCTTTATGCAAAAAGAACAAATAAACAACATACTCATTTCCATTTCTTGACTTTTTGTAAACAATTATTCAAAAGGTAGCGACATAAAATAATAACTAACATTGATTATCAATTTTATGGCCTTTTTCTAAACCAATACATTAAAATTCAAGTCTAGATAATTACTCATTGCAATATGTACTTTTGAGGTTATGAATTTATTGCAGAAATACTCCGTTTATTTACTTTGTTTAATGCATTGCCAACAACTTAAAGTTATGTTAGAATTTCGATCAATTAATGTGCATACACGGTAAGAAAGATGCATTTTTCGCTATTTGTCTCAATTAACAAGCTTCAATCGGATGGTTCAGCATATTCTGTAAATGAAGAAATATGGCTGTAAACTTTTACCTCATCAAAGGTAAATAACATAATTGATGGAAGGTGGTCGAGCAAATGAATCACTGTTAAAAGCAGGTAGCTTTTTTAAATACTATTTCTTGGAACGTCAATTTCTATAAATCTATTCAGCACTAGTTAACAAAAGTCACCAAGCCAAATCGAACGAGATGCAAATTGGTCCCCGTATTTACTTTTTGATAACATTGTCATACAAACCCCCAAAAAGAAACATTTTCACATCCAGTAATGCCCATGCAAAAAATGTGCAAATTGGTTCCAATGTTTAGTTTTGGACGACCTTTATGATTGAAGTATTTAATCACTTTGCACTTCAATTGAACGTATAAATCTTTAATGAAATACATTAATGACAACGAAACAAAAAATAATATAAAATACTATATTCTAGTTATAATTTCAAGTATACTTGAATACATCATATCAGCTTTGTACAGATATAGTAAAATTTGCATTTGTATATTTAAAGGTCATTTCTAATATGGAAAAGGCAAATAGTTCTTATTTTAAGATATATATTGAGGACGAGTTACTGCTTAATAAGACGACCGTTGTCCAACATATGCATAAAGACGGCGGTTTATCATTCAAATGCATAATTCTTTTGTCTTATATTTATACTAATATTTAATGTAAACTTAATTCAGGACTTGGTAAATCTATCAATCCATTTCTTACCATCTCTAACTGTTAACGCCCCTTACATTAAAGCTCCACCATAATAAACAAATGACAATTAAATATGTATATCACTATTAAGAAACTTCGTCATCGTCGCTATAGCCTCATTATTCATCTTGCAATCATAGAATTTCAAATCATTTGTGTATGCAGTGTCTATAATCCACACCATCCTGAACTTTACGTTATCGCTGAGTATAGCCTGCGATGATGTTGTCGGTAACGCGTGCTCCTCTTTATTATGTATGATTACAACTGCAAGGCGAGCGAAGGAATCAAGTTCTGAAAAAGAAAAATAAGCAACATTTGAGCCGCGTCACGACAAAACCAACATAATGGGTTTGCGACCAGCATGGATCCAGACCAGCCTGTGCAACCGCGCAGTCTGATCAGGATCCATGCTGTTCGCTTACAGACCCTATAACAAGAAGAGAAACTGATAGCGAACATCATGGATCCTGATCAGATTGTCGTGACGCGGCTCATTTAATTATATTAATTTCGAGGCAAAAAGAACAGTAAGATTTTGAATATTAAAAGGGCGTTAAGCATAATTAATGGGCAGATATGAATGAAATCTACGGAATGTAAGCCAAAATTATAAGCCAAAGTTATCACAAAGACAAAGAGTTTTCACGCATACAATCTTTCACTTTGATCTGTGAACATGTAATTAAAATATAAACCTCTCGAAGTTCTTAAAACAATTCATTTAAACAAGAAACACCCGAAACATATTTCACCTATCCTTAAAACAGATCATTAGAAACAACCAGAGAACAATATGGACACCATCTCGAATAATATTAAATCTTATTTACCTCCAAATTGTTCCAGTGCATAATCTATATCTGGTAGCAATCTAGATATTTTCTGACACAGTATTATAAGCGGTTTATTGATGTCAATATTTGACACTTTCTTTATCACATCAGGTATAAATCTTTTGTTTAGCCTTTCTTTAAATGCATATACAAAGTCAGCTGTGTACATGTCTCGTTCGTATACTTGAACTTGTATGGCTGAAGACTCAGCTGTGATAAGAAAGTAAGTCATTACGCTAGCACTTACATTAAAGAATATCTCAGATAAAATCAAAAACGTTAACCAAATAATGTTATTTAAATTAAACATTTGCAACATCATTTAAGTAAAGAAATATTAATGCTTGGTTGGGATTAAAGTGACATTGACACAATTTAGGTTTAACAGGGACTTTCCTCTTTCTTGAGAAAGACCTTGCATGTTCTAAAGAGCGAATCTGAGTTAAGCCATGTATATTCTAATAAGGTGGAATAATTGCAAGAGCCAGTAGAACGAAAACGCATTACTTACCTTCCCTTTTCTCTGATACAGTACATGCATACTGTGATAACTTCTGAACGACCTCTTCTGTTTTACTCTCAAGCATCTGTATACTTTTTATTATATCCTATCACAAATATATATTCATTTGTATATGAAAGATGAAATGCAAAAAGAAATTAAATCGGGTGGTTTAAAACATTGGAAGCAAGAGGTAGTCTTTTATAATTTGAGTGTTAAACTTATTAAATCCTGTGATACTTACAAACTTATTTCGTTAGAAAATGTAAGTAATACAAAACAATACCTGAATGTTGTCCTGAACAATTTTCACTTCCTGCAGTTGGTCTGATTGAGAAGAATCGAAATTTGACGATGCTTCAAGTTGCTTACTGGTCGGCTTTAATGATTTGCTTCTAAAAGGAAGCCAATTCAAAAATCGTTTAGTATAACTTTCATTGCTGAGGCTTTTTTGCTTTAGTTGTGAGATGAAATTGTTGTTCATTTCTGAGTGTCTCTAGAATAAAATATAATAAAATAAAACTTTAATGTTATACTCCATTATAAAATGATATTTTTATGTTTAATGTATGTTTAATTACTTTTAAAGGTATAATACATACATTCTTTAGACCTCAAAATAGTAAAGGATTTCCACTGTGGTCAAAAGGCCTAATGATCACTGCGGTATACCGTAAACCCGGATATTGCTCGATATAATGAGGACTTTCATCCCATTTCGCGACTTTGGACGGGGGATAAAGGTAAGTTCAGTGACGATATTTAGTCATTTTGAATTGGTTTCATATAATTTTTATAGAAAAAACAAATACTTCGATAATTTCTCTAGTTACTGAAAACACATAAATGTTGAGAAATAGCTTTTAAATGTAATTAGGAGGAAAAATTCGTCTCTTCGCTCACGTGATAAATGAGCTCGGATCAGTTGAATTTGATGTTTTTGTGCATATACTTCCTAAAAAGAAAAAAATGACAGCGCATTTTGAGAATAAATACACATGTCAGTGTACCGAGTATTGCGTTGGAGTTGCTTGCCGGTGTCACGAGTATTGCTTTTTAGTGTAACGAGTATTGGTTATTAATATCGAGTAAATGCGAGGAGTAAACACATTCAATCTTAAATATTTCTTATTGTGTATACTTATTGACACTATATGTGCAGAATATGCAGAGTGGAGAACCGAGGTATTTTAATGGAAACAGCTTTTCAGAATATTGCATATCGTACTATAAATAGTAACAAAATTGCATTGAAAGTGCATTAATGCTGCCTCAAGACTGTCAATATTAGACGGTATTGTGCAAGTTTTCCAATATCTGATATCAACCCACTTCCTATTATGTCAAAAATCCATATAAAGGTGACTTTCGGTCATTTTGCACCTGCATTCTAGCAACGGCAGACCGTCTATATATAGATAGTATGCAGTTTCAACATGAGGTGTATTGGTTTTTATTTGTTTGGGTCGTCAGACCAAACAAATAATGGTAGCGAAATTTCAGAGTCTAATGTTGTTAATTGCAAACGCCGAAAGTAGTCCACTTTTTTGAAGCGGTTACTTCCCTTTATATGTACACTAACACCGAAAAATTCAGGGGAGATCACTGCGTAAAGATGGTCAAAGACAGGCGAATTAATTTTCAAGCAAAATAATTCCCGAATGGTCGAAGATTTCTAATATTGTTTTATTGTATTTTCTGATCGAAATTAAGTAAATACAAAGCGGACATTCAACCTCTGACACAGAAGTTTACAACAAACCTAACAACAAGTAGTTCTCAAAACAGCTTAAAACTAGCGATTTAAAAGAAAGAAATATTTTTATTTTGTTACAAGTATCCAACAAATAACAACGCATTCAAAGTTTAAAAATAGCTTTGGCTAATAGAATTGTCAATAAATGCACAATCACAAATTACGCGGATGAATATGATTTTATCAATGAAAATACTATTTTTAGCGCTGTCGATTACCGAATACTACACAAAACCGGAGTAGTGGAATATATAGATTCTACATGTCGGACTGTTTGGGGCGAGAAGATTTTCGCTAAATTATTTACTTCAATTTTTAAACAACAGGTTTATCCTGAACAAAATACCTCGAAATTAATAAGGATAACAAACCCGAAATGCAATGGAAGTTCTAAATCTAGAATGACCTGATGTTATTCAGACATTATTTGTATAACTTCTCCGTGGTGCAGGGGTAACGCGCTCGCTTCAGGAGTGAGAGGTCTGGAGTTCAAATCCAAGTCGAGGAAACTTTTTTTTAAAAAATTCTTTTTTTAAGTGTCTTTGTTAAGGAAGTAGCCATGATATGCAAGGATAAAGTGTGACTGTCGTAAAAAAATAAACATAAATGATTTTTTGATTGCATCTCTAGTTATGCAGAATTCCGTATGTATCAAACTCTGGTGCCTTGCAAAATGAATTATAATACATATAAATAAACTTATACAGGAAAATGCTTACAGATATACAGTACGATTAAGATTGCAAAGATCAGAAAATACCACAGAACTTGCATCCCTTTGATTCTTTATAAATATACATGCTTATAGTAAGCTCCGGGATTATTTACATCTGTGTTAAACAACAGTTAAAGTCGTTACAAGCCCTAATTTAGAATAATATGGTTTTCTTCAGGCCGTTCACATATAAATTCACCGTGGCTGAAGGGTTTTCGCGCTCGCCTATGAAGCGAGAGGTCTGGAGTTCAAATCCTAGTAAAGGCAAACCATTTTTTTTTTCAAATTGTTTAAGTCAAATAAACATTGGATTGCATATCAGTGTTGCAATAAGTCTTATAGCCAATTTACTACAATTAAAACGCTGGAAAGCATTGGTGGCACTATACATATAATCTCACAACCTGCACCTTTCGTACATTCTGAGACCCAAACAAATTCAGCGCCTTCTGTGCTTTGATTTATGAATGGTTTTATTCCCAATAAATCAATTAAGCGCACAACTAGTATAAACAACTGCGATGTAGAATGATTGAATCAATAATAATAAAGTCATTTATAACTTCAATTAAAGCTTGCCGGGTAAAGAGATTAAAACAAATGAAAGCAATGGACACTATGAAGACTTTTTTGAGAATATATTGAGACCCAATTTGTTGTTAATTTATTTATTTCTATTGAAATCTTACTTTTCATGATGATTCAATAAACAGGTAGACAAATACTTTTCTAAAATAAATGTTAATTTCATGATTTTCTGTAGTAAAACCCTCTAATATAAACATAATTGAAGTTAGAAACATATATAGAACATTACTAAAATTATAACAATATACAATTTACTGGAATATATGGCATAAAATATACAGAAAAAAACACTGTGTTTTTCATACAAAGGCTTTTTATAAATTTTAAACAGCAAAAAAAATCCTATATCTTGATACACATGATTATTTCAAATCTTGATAACAAGTTAACAATTGATCAAAGAGCCTTAACGAAAAGATTCCAATGAATTTTCTCTATGGGAATAAAGATGTTCTAATAGAAAAACTTTAAAAAAAGTCACCAAATAATCAGTTCTTGTACAAATTTCAAAAGAATCCAATAACTTTTGCAAATTCTCATCTAGCAATTTGTGTTAATTTTGTTCTATGGAGATTGAATCTATTGAACAATTATTATGTCAATCTTGAACAACATCCAAACATTTTTCTCTCTAAAGGTTATGAAATACCTCTAAGCTTAAGACATGTGTGTTCGGTATACTGGTTAACATAATTCTGTAAATTTCATTTTAATTCTGTTTAAATATTTCATATTTAAAAAGAAACAGAGCAAAAAATACCTCATTTTGATAATGTTAATTTAAAACCTACATACCTGTAGAGCCTCCAAAATGTCCTCATTGTTCTTATTCATTTGTGCAAAACAACTATTTTGTCTGTTAATAAAAGAACAAAGCTTTTCAAATTTTCTGAAAATGAACGTTGTAATTTATGATACAGTTCAAATATTTTTATTAATGATAAGAGATGCGAAAACGTGCAGACAAATATATTCAAACGTAATATCCTTTTATGTGCATGAGAACAGTTACATATTTGAAATGCACTTGAATGGTTCTGTTTTTATACAAAAACAAAATCCAATGAGGCTAGATAAATAAAAAAAACAATCGATATATAATCCCACCATCTGCCTTTTCATTTAAGGAAAAAAAATCATGTTTTGTACTGATGAAGGCATATAGCCAAAACGAATGTAATAAATACTTACTGAATGTACGTGTTTGTGACGCTTGTTTGTATATTTTGTCTTTTAAGGGTAATTCAGAATTTATGTGGTATTTAAGGACATGCATGGCAAAAACTAATCTTTAATAGAAATTACTTATCGTCATGCCGTGTTTCTAATTATATCTTATTTTACACATGCGTATTACAGTTACCGGAAATGCCGACTTGGGCGATACATTATCATAAAGCAAAGAGTCTAAAAACGAAATATGGGGAACTATTTGGGGTTATGGCAAGGTATGTTACATTTCTAATCATTTTTTTAAATAGTGAAACTAGTTTCTATGAATGAATAGACTGAAGTACTTTATTATTAGCAGAGGAACAATAAAAAAACAATCTTTCTTAGATTGATAACGTTTTACTGAGGAAAATTAGGTTTGTCAGTATTTTTTCCATGGCTGTATAAGAACATTAAACATTTCAGCAATTGGAAATACATGTAGTAAAAGATTGACAATTACATGTATATAAATTGTGTTATTATACGACTAAAGCCCATATGGCTGATTTTACTTAGGACAGTCGGAAGTTACTTAGATTGCTTCGGATATCGGAAGCTTAATATGTTTACTCAGATATAATCAATTAAAATTATATTTTGAAAAATAGACAACGTGCAGACAAATGCCAAAACACGAGTAAATCAAGGTGCACACGTGTCTCGCCATAAAGGAAATTATGAAAGCGTAAAAGCACGTTGGCTTGGAAAATAGTGGGAACCATTCATCCCACATTAAAAACATCAAATACAAACCATGGACAAAAAAATAATCTGGCCAAGTACTAATGCTGATAATTGTTTTTTATCTTTAATTTTTAATAATCATTTTTATAGCTAATCAATTTTATTTTTTACTTCGCAATTGTTGTTTGTTTTTTTTTTGGAAAATTAATATTTAAACTGTTATTTGTTTATTTATTTATTTATCATTTTACTGTTCTGAAATATGTTATTATAATTATATAATTTTTTATTATTATTATCATCAGTTTGCTTGTATGTTTTTAAACTAAACTTTAAGATGGAAATAAACTCAAAAACATAACCTTTGAGAAGACACCTGACATATAAAGGGAGATAACTAGTATAAAATATTAACATAATGACATGCCAGGGTTGCCTCCCTTCTAATAAACTGCAGATTTCGTATATAATGATTATTACATACTAATTTATGAAAAAAATTGGTTTGTACACAAAGAAATTCACAATGTGCATCAAACAGTAGAAAAAACATAATGTTGGAAAATATAAAAGCAAGAGAAATAACCATCAAAGTCGTTTGGTTGGTTTGGTTGTTTGTTTTTGTTTTATTCACAGAGACATTCACAAAAATCAAAGCACAGAAGGCGCTGAATTTGTTTGGATCTCAGAATGTCAGAAAGGTGAAGGTTGTGAGATTATAAACCAATTTGTTCTTGTATAGTGCCACCAATGCTTTCCAGCGTTTTAATTGTAGTTAATTGGCTAAAAGACTAATTGCAACACTGATATTTAATCCAATGTTTATTTGACTTAAACAATGTGTAAAAAAAATTAGTTGCCTTAACTGGGATTTGAACTCCAGACCTCTCGCTTCTTAAGCGAGCGCGCAAACCCCTGAGCCACGGTGAATTTATATGTTAACGGCCTGAAGAAAACCATATTATTCTAAATTAGGGTTTGTAACGACACTAACTGTTGTTTAACACCTGTGTAAATATTCATGGCGCTTACTATAAGCATGTATATCTATAAAAAAAAAACAATATTAGAAATCTTCGACCATTCGCGAATTATTTTGCTTGGAAATTAATGCGCCTGTCATTTGACCATCTTTACGCAGTGATCTCCCCTGAATTTTTCGGCGTTAGTGTACATATAAAGGGAAGTAACCGCTTCAAAAAAGTGGACTACTTTCGGCATTTGCAATAACAGCATTAGAGTCTGAAATGTCGCTACCATTATTTGTTTGGTCTGACGACCCAAACAAATAACAATATGACCAGGAAATCCAGTTTCATTTCCATGGCTACTTTCAAATATCTATTTTAAAAGTGTCCGGCATTTTTTACTTCATGGAGAAAAAAACCCACTAAACAACAAACAAACAAATAAACACACGCCATGTCATGTAAGCTGAAAATGTTGTTGTTGTTTGATGTGTTTTTTTTTTCAGAAATCGATATGTTTTTGAAGTGCTAATATACATGTACATGTCAGTTTACATGATTTTTTACCTTCAGTCGAGCCGGAGTATACGCCTGCTCCAAAGTTGACCGAGACTCCATGGAGAAAATCAAACTTTGTAAGCATTTATTAAAATACTCATCATTTTGAATATATTTAGTCTAATTAAGTTGTATTCGTTAATCTATATTCATTTTTAAATTCTAATTCCTTTTATTTCATTACATTCCACGGAGAAAAACAAATTGTGTATGCATTCATTAAATACATATCATTTCAAAAATATCTAGTTCATATAATTTCAATGTTTTTATTATTTCATTCTCTTTTATCTTATTACATCTATGCTGTTAAAGTCACAACGGAACTGGGTGTCGACAGCGATTATACAATAAAACGTCTTTTTTTCCTATAAGTTATCGGAAGTCATTTTCCATAACGGATACGGATACAATAATCCAATCTGCTACGTGAATATCTAGTACTTTTTTGAACTTAGGGAAATATATAGGTTTGATAACAACTACGAATGCTTACGCAGTGAACAGTCTCCATCAAAATATCAGAAATATCATTTGGAGCACATACACACCATTCATATATTTGCAGTGTATGATAAACACGCTACAAGTAATCAACACAACTATCAATTGTGTGTCTTGCCTTACATTATTATATTGATTAATACTCATATGATATATACCAAAGCTGCCTTTTATGTTTTTAGCAGTCTTACTACTTAGACTTGTGATTTTTGTGAATATTTTCTAATTATTAAACATCTTTCTTTCGGCTCAACGAAAGGATACTCTTATGGACGAAATATTAAGAGTGAAGCCCGCATGTCCGGCAAATGTGTTGCTACTTGGTCCAACCGGGGCAGGTAAATCTTCCTTCATAAACTCAATACTTACAATTGCCAAAGGACGCTATGTGAACAAGGCTTACACCGGAAATAAAGAAACAAGTTTTACGACAACTGTGAGTTAGAACACTGATTATACTTTTAACTCTTGTAGATAACACAAGTTTGCTAACAGAAGATAACACGGCAGTATGTAAATAATTCAGAAATCTAGACAACTAGCCTTGCTGTTTGCTTACTTATAATTTTAATATACGTATTTAACTGCAGATATCAATATATGAGCCGCGTCACGACAAAACCAACATGGTGCGTTTGCGACCAGCATGGATCCAGACCAGGCTGCGCATCCGCGCAGTCTGATCAGGATCCATGCTGTTCGCTATCAGTTTCACTACTTGTTATACGGTTTGTAAGCGAACAGCATGGATCCTGATCAGACTGCTCGGATGAGCAGGCTGGTCTGGATCCATGCTGGTCGCAAACCCATTATGTTGGTTTTGTCATGGCACGGCTCATATCAGCCGTAGATTGTGAGTAATTGACATTGTCTAATCAATTGTTTATTACATCATTATTAAAGAAAGTGGTAAAACGGAATGAAAACCAAAACAAAACGTTTATTGCACCATATGCTATATTTTAGTATGACTGTTTTATGGACGATGGTATCATGCAACATTGTTGTCTTTGGGACAGCATGGGTATAGAACACGTGCTGATAGGTGGACTTTTACTCGATGACCTTGAGTATCTACTCAAAGGTCATATAAAAAGGGAATACACGGTAATTGAAACGAAAAAATTGAACATTTTTCCTCTTTTTTCCTTCCTTTTAAAATAATTTTGCCGCTTTAAATTCTACGTCATTATAATTTGTAATTTAGGACGTTTTCATCGGATTATTTTTATCCTATTTCAACACTGTTTCAATAGATTAACCAACCAAATGAAGCTCATATTAGCAATTTTCGTTAAAATCAAAACCATCCATATGATCACAGCTATATTTTGTCTCGATTAAGGAACATTTTTGTTCCAGTTCAATCCACGATCGAAAATATCCGAGAATGACAAGCATTTTCGCCGCCAGCCCCGCATTAGAGACAGGATACATTGTGTTGTGTTTGTCCTTGATGCTGGCATGGTAAACGAAGTCATTGTGAAGCCATACATGTCAAAGATCAAAGCTCTTCAAGATCGAGCACATGCTCAGAGTAAGCTGTTTACTAGTATTTCGTCTTCGTCGTGACGGAGAATTTTAGTAATAAAAATGTCACGGTATCGAACTGTTCAATAATCAGAACCGATAGCTAAGTAGTAAGGCCGCGGTATTCATGTACATGTATCTGCCATGTCTAAATAAACTGATAACAAATGTTGTTTGAACTTATCCATATATACACTTTCGTGTTATGTAACGTTTATGTGTCTGTGTATTTGCAAGGGGCAGGACGTGAAGTGGTTGCACACTTGGTTCAAGCGAGCGAATTGGTTGCAAACTTGACAATATGGCGAACACGGCGTGATTTTTTTTAACGGGTGAACGAATTTTTGCGAGGCAAGTGGGTTTCTTTGTTATTTTGAAGTTCATTAGTATGTCTATTCCATAATGCAATATATATGCCACACTCGGTTAAAGGTCTCAGCATCCTAGATTCTGTTTTGAGAAAGTTATTGAAGATATAAACTGATCATGTAGATATTTTGAAATTTGACATGTGACTGTTCTGGTCGGTTTTTCTCCTAATTTATTCGAATTTGTAAGTTTTGAACTGCAATTAACAATAACAAAATATGTTTCTGTCAATGCTGTACAGATGGTTCAGTTCGCAAGTCCGAAGATAACGTTCAATACATAAAAATATCTTGTTCAAGCACATTTTGGTTGCAGACTTAAACTTCAAGCATTTTTGGTTGCAAACTTATGTGTCAATAATGTGGCATGAATATTTTTAGCGAGGAATAACTAATCATTTTTTTTTTAAATAATTAGCAATGTTAAGGCAATTATACCCGTTCATCTTGTAAGAAATATATATACAAATTGTACATGCGTGCATATATACCCTAACACAGGGTCTTTCAAATAGATCTTAAACACAATATGCTAATTTGAAGTTCAGTTGTGTTTATCTTCATAATTTTTTCTCCTCGATATACTTCTTTTCTTTTTACAAAGTCTTTTGACTTTTTTTGTATCTTGGCATGACTAACTGTAAAGGAAAAAAAGAAAAAATAGCAACAAACAGCTTTCATTAGTGTTCTTTTTTGAGATTTGAAATAAATTTGATTATATAGTAGAAAAAAAACTATATTAACATTGACAAAAGAGCATTATTCACATGTTTCTTTAAATTGTTCCTTATTATTGACCAATCAAAACATCTTCCAAATTCCCTAACTCGAACAATGACTTTAAGTAGTTTTGTCACGTATCAGTCAATGTAAATAACCAATCGTATATCATCTATATATATTATGATCTAATAATCATAATCATTTTTAGAATACCAATTGACATATGATGTACATCAAATCCGAAATATTTTAAACAAGCATGTCATTTTAACTTTTGGTTTGTAAAAATATGTTAAGCACAATTACATACTTTATGTCTAAAGCAACTGTTGATATTTACATACGAAACAAACAAATTAACATTTCTTGTGGTTTTGGAAATTTTGCCGAGTAACATCGTATGTGTGCACATGTCCTTATGTTTATGATGAAAATAATTCACTTACATACAACAGTACTCTCACGTACGTTTGTTTTGTATGTAGTTTTCATTTGCATATTATATATGATGACATATTTTAGAATTGAAATATCAATAAATAGTTTTCTATATGCTATTATTTTGTTTGCAGGCTTTACTGGTGATTATAGTATTGAACTGAGAACCATGTAATTTGAAACATAAAGTGCATAATTGTTGTAAAAGAAGAAAGTATAAATAACATTTATAACAAAAACAAGTAACAGAACATAAATGTTAATAATTGCCATTTAAAATTATTAATAAATATAACCTTCTTCACTCCTTTTGCATAGTTTTACTATGGATTTCTATAGAATAAGAATAAGTTTGCAACCAAAAATGCTTGAAGTTTAAGTCTGCAACCAAAATGTGCTTGAACAAGATATTTTTGTGTATTGAACGTTATCTTCGGACTTGCGAACTAAACCATTTGTACAGCATTGACAGAAACATATTTTGTTATTGTTAAATGCAGTTCAAAACTTTCAAATTCGAATAAATTAGGAGAAAAACCGACCAGAACAGTCACATGTCAAATTTCAAAATATCTACATGATCAGTTTATATCTTCAATAACTTTCTCAAAACAGAATCTAGGATGCTGAGATCTTTAACCGAGTGTGGCATATATATTGCATTATGGAATAGACATACTAATGAACTTCAAAATAACAAAGAAACCCACTTGCCTCGCAAAAATTCGTTCACCCGTTTCAAAACATCACGCCATGTTCGCCATACTGTCAAGTTTGCAACCAATTCGCTCGCTTGAACCAAGTGTGCAACCACTTCACGCCCTGCCCCTTGATTTGTGTAGATATCGACGATGGTGGATAAAAAGCATGGCAAGGCACGAAACCGTTTCTCTTTGTACATGATGTTCTTTCTATATAAGCTAACATGTTCTCATTCATGCAACCAGTTGTATTAAGAAGAAAAATGGAATTCTTCTGTGGAAAGCGATGTCGCTTGCTGTTAACGGCAAAAGTCTTACAACTACAGTATCCATGCATTTGCATAACAATATAGCCCGATGCCAATTAATCACAAAAACGCTTTCAAATATATAATGTAATCAATGTCTTGAAGGCTGTTTCATAAAAACAATCTTTTAAAAAAATGTTTCTATTTACTGTGAACGTATTTCGAGAATATAAACACTACCCTCATTTCAGTCAATTCTCATGCGTAGACTAACATAGCTATTGTAAGAGACTGGGAGATATGGGAGATAATAGGAAAATGCGGGTTCTGCATCACCGATGCTCCAGTATATGTATCATTTCATTACTTTATGAGAATGAGTTGGAATTCCGTATGTACACTTGCAAAACTCTTATATTCAAGACCGTATAAATCTTGATTTTTATGGTGAGTCGCCAAAAGAAAGCACTGGAAAACTAAAACTATCATATGGAAACAATTTTATTTTAATTTCTTTTAACACAGAGCTGTAAAAGCAAACATAAGCATTAATATATGCCTTGTAAACTCATTTATGGTGACTGTGAAAATTTCCAAAACACTCATACATCTCATCGCGATTATGGAAATTTTGACACAAGAAAAACAACGTATCTTAACAGTGAATTGACAACTTACAAAGTCACTGCGGTATACCGTACCCCGGATATTGCTCGATATAATGAGGACTTTCATCCCATTTCGCGACTTTAAAACGGGGAACGAAGGTAAGTTCAGCGACGATATTTTCCAAACTAATGGCTATTTCATTTTTCTCAACAGGGTTTATATATCTAGAGGTATTTTTGTAGCGCCGGAAGACATCAAAGTATTATAGGTACTTGTTAAAATTGATTAAACTACCCCTAAACGATCGGCTGCTCACTAGAAAATACTGATCTCGATACTGTAGAATCGTTAGAAATTATTATATTACCAAGATAAAAAGAAATTGAATCGAGCACTTTTTAAAACCATAATCCAAGTATGCTTAGTCCAAATTTCAGGCAAAAGTGTGAAAGTACAAAAAGATACAGGCCAAAAAAAGATACAAGGCAGTGAACCGAGTATTGATTTTAAGTGTACAGTGTATTGCAAAACAAAATGAGCAAATAAGAATGGAAAATCGATATATTTGTCTATTTGTACGTTTGTTTATCGATGCCATTTTTTTTTTTTTTTGCTTATGATATTTATTCAAATATTTCAGATTCAGCAATGCATTTTCAGTGTTATCACTGTTCTTTTTCTACGGACAAATACAGAGATTTAATTTCCCATTTGATTGAAAATCACACAGTATGGATGAAATAAAGTTTAAGCTGTTAATGAGGATGGCGTTAAAGTGTGTGCTTAAATTCGACAGCAGGGAAGAACCATCAAAATTGACAATAACAATCTTTATTTTAATGTCTCAAGAAACTGTGATCAGGGAGACACATCTCTGAAAAGAAGAATTTTTTTTTAGATGACATTAATTATACGTTTTAACAGGGCAAAGAAACATATCGACACACTAAGTAAAATATTGGCCCGAGGGCTAATACCGTCCAAGTATACCGGTATCGTCTTAAGGAACATAACCTTTATATTTTAATAATCTTATCAAAATCCATTATTCGGTTTGTGTTGTACCCGCTCAACAGTCATAACTCATTGTTAATGACGTAACAAATTTCACATGCAGCCGGTCTGCCGTTGCTAGAATGCAGGTGCAAAATGACCGAAAGTCACCTTTATATGGATTAATGACATAATAGGAAGTGGGTTGATATCAGATATTGGCAAACTTGCACAAAACCGTCTTGAGGCATTAATGCACTTTCAATGCAATTTTGTTACTATTTATAGTAAGTAATAAATTCCGAAAAGCTGGATCATTCGCTAGCAACGAGAACTTTGTAAACACACAATATTGCTGTACGGAGCCTACGGAGCCCCTAAGAAGACATTCTCGACACTTTTCCCCCGGCATTTAATTCGTTTTTACGAAATATTAATTCGTTATTACGAAATAGCAATTCGTTTTTACGAAATATTAATTCGTTTTTACGAAATATTATTTCGTAATTACGAAATATTAATTCGTAAAAACGAAATGTTATTTCGTAATTACGAAATATCAATTCGTTTTTACGAAATATTAATTCGTATTTACGAAATATTAATTTGTTTTTACGAAATGTTATTTCGTAATTACGAAATATTATTTCGTTATTACGAAATATTAATTCGTAAAAACGAAATGTTATTTCGTAATTATGAAATATTAATTCGTTTTTACGAAATATTATTTAAGGTCATTTTGAGCTTGATAAAGAACCTATTAATCTCACAAATGGGTCATTTACATGCCTTGATCAACTTTGCGATTATAAGCCGAATGGTTCTCAAGTTATATATATTTAAGTGAACAGGGTTTTTGAGTGAGAAGTCATTCTCTATCCAAAATGGTCTTTTTTCGCCATTGTCAAAAACATGTTCCTATCA